TTAGTAGATGATCTAGTCACAACTTTCATCAACAACATTAAACTAGATCCAAAATTGGAAACGAAACATAATCTAGCTAGATCACGTAATTTTTTTCAATCGAATAACATCATCGATAAACAAGTAGATGATCTTGTCACAAACTATCATCAACAACATCAAACTAGATCCCAAATTGCAAACGAAACATAATCTAGCTAGATCGTGTAAATTATTTCAATCAAATCACATCATTGATACCAATCTAATATACATTATCGATAGGTATTTATTCTTCATATACAATCAAATACAACTTCTAATGATATATATTATTGTTCTTGCAGGTTTTCTTAGAGTATGCGGATTTGGCTTCCGTATCAAGGGTCAGATCGATGTTTCACCGGATTTGGTTTGGTTACAATCAAGCTATAAGACAAANTCGACCTTGCAATTCAGCAAATAGTTTCTTTTTCCATATATATGCGCATAAGCTGTATAAAATTGGAAACATGTATGAGAAAATGAAAGCAATAGAAACTTCCATATTACATAGATTTGCACTTCAACTAGTTTTTCGAATTTTTCTAAAACTTTTAGGATTTTAAAAATATTCTTCTTTCTTTTTTAATAATTTTTTATTATTTTGATTTGGCCCAATCAAAATTATTCTTTAAATATAAAATCATTAACTTTTGTTTGACCAATAATAAAAAAAGGCCATCATATCTCAAACCTACAATAGGAGATATTATATATTTTGATATATACCTCACTAAAATATTTGCTACTAATGATCAATTCTTTACTGTTATGGCAGGCAATAAGCAAGTCTCTGACATTGTAATTTTCACCAATGCTCTGAGATCCGAAAGAAAACTGTGTTTTATCTCAAATCAGCCACAATTGTACCCTCTCACATTCGAAATCTAGAGGGGAGGAACATCAATAAACACTCTTTGGCCTATGTTTTCTGAAACACTTCTTGCAAAATACAGTTCCAAATTTAGAAGAGTTTTGGAAAATATTACAACTTTTGAGATACCTTCAGTTTTTAGCAGTTCTAATTTTATCTTTTGAAGAACTGGACACGACATGACCAGTTTTGCAAAAGCTCTGTTAGTTGTATGAACGGGTCTATTCAGCTTCAAAATTCTAGGTCTTGGCATTGAGGTCTCCACCTCCTCCAACCGAGCATGACCTATACATGACTTGATTCATATTGGACATGTACATATTGATTCACAAAACCGGTTACTGTGGTTGAAATAACATAGAAATCATTGATTTTGAATCGACACCAAGTAAAGGAAAAATGAAAAAGTGACAACCGCGACAACACTAACCCTCGAGAGAATCATTATCCATCATGTACATATCACCGAGGAGATCTAATCCAAAACAATGATGATATGGATATCGGAGGAATTGTTTTGACAATGCTATAAAAGATATTTTCATAAAATTAAAAATAAACTAGTTCAATTTTCTGGGAAAGTGATAGAGTTGCATTTAGAACCTAAAAAAAAATGGATAGAGTTGCATAAAAAACACAGATCTCACGAAAATCGAAGATATAATAAAAAAAAAGGTACTATATCTATACATATTCGGTACACATGAAAATTATTTTAGTCTAAAATTGTCATTAATTTTAAACTATAGATGATAACTTTA